TGGTGAGATTAATGTGTCACGGGAGGTACGAGAAAATTATTTTTTTCCTCCGGATTTATTTTCAAATGTTTTAATTTGTTAAAGAGATATCATTTCCCCCCAGGATTACGTTGATGAAGTGGGCAAAGAATCGAGTGATGTGCAAGATACTGGCCTGTTTATCGTAAGTTAAATTCAAAATTGTCCCTCTGTCTATAACTATTCTAGTTCTGGAATATTTTTCTTTGTCTTCAAGTCTTTTGGTGGGATTTTACCTCGTTTATCGTATTTTTTCCCCCACGGGGGATTCACAATACTACATTTGAAACTCACCACCTTTTGGTGCGTCGCAAGGAATCACCCTCTTACCAGTGCTCTTCACGCTTTACGTCAATGACTTCCTAAAAAAATATAGATATTTTATTGTTATTTAAGTTTCTAGTCGTTTTAGCGGTTTCGCACAAATACACCGATCCCGGCTATCAGGCTCGAGTGTCCACCCATAAAATGGGTAGTTTTCTCTGTGGCATACAGAATCTGTTCCTTCAATAGTCCTACAGAAATAAGCGCCGGAAGCATTCACAGCCCTCCATAATGAGTAGCTTTGATAAATATTGATTAATTTAGGGTTTTTTCTCATTGTGTTATATTTCCAGGTTTTAGACAAAATATCCAGTGCAGATGAAAATGAGGGCGTACTTATTGCGGTAAACTTAGTCAACTTGTATTAGTACTGAAAAATCTCTCTAGGCTTGTTTCTTTCATTAGAGGAATTTATATAGGTCTCCGGTCCCCCCCCCCCCCCCAATCCCCATGCGAGTATCTTCGAAATAATTATATGAACATTTATATATACAGAATACATATGTACGTATGACGTGTATGTGTGGAATATGTGAATATAGATATTATGCACATACATAAACATACGTATATATTCGTAACTTATATGGAACTAAGTTGATGTGCAACTATGTATACAAAACGCCAAATAAAATATGTCTGTCTGTCTGTCTTCGCCATAGTAAAAATAAGAAAATATAAAACATTTTTTAAAAAATGGCGTCCCTTAATCAGTGCGCGTTGATATTATCAAATATGTAATAAAATCATTGAATATTGATTATTCACTTGTTCATATATAGTTTGGCGAGTTTACTATGGAACAAACCAAAGAGTTCATGGAAACATCTAATGGATTCGTTTTGAGGTAAGCATCGCAGTTTGTATTTAAATAGAAGTCTCTAGCTGAACCATGTGGGATGATGGTTAAGTAATCATATCAGTTTGCGCATGCGATAAAGTGCTTTACACGGAACATGCTGCTCTTCCATGTGGGATGCACTGGGATGTGTAAAAACGGGAAAAGGGGTTGTGTGGGATGGAAAGTTAATGGTGTTGGTGGAC